CCCGAATTCGCTTTCTACTGGCCGTATCCGTTCATCGTCAAGCGGAACAAAGGGCTCTTTCCAGGGTTTTGACCCTTTCATTTCTTTCTTGGTATAACCAATCCATGGTCTAGTTCCCTGCGAACGAAGAGGCAGAGGCAGAACCAGTTTGGTGCCGTTCCAAACCCGTTTCCCACCTGTTGAAGCAAACAATCGACAAGACTATATACGTACCGTACCGTTTATTGTTTTCTATGTTGGCGCATTCCTGCTTCAACTGGCAGAGAACAGGTTGGGGGCCGTGACACACCCATACTGCCTGACACGACCCTTCATCCAACCGCAGCGAACTGCAGTATATGGGCTTTTGTAGCACCTTGCTACCATCTTTGCTTTACATCGAATACCAAATTATAGCGTCTTATGCCTTCAACTCAAAGGAACGGTCCACGATGACATATGAGAAGGCAAAAGATTGTGTGGGAAGGAAAGTTGTGGAGAGTGCCATCTTCGCGGAGGAAAGTTGTAAGGTGAAGGAGTTAAGGGGTAAAGCTGCTCTAGTGGTACCTCCATTTTTCCAGTGGCTTCGCCTGCAAAGTCTGTCTTCAAGGTGATGCTACCGGACAGGTAGCATGAAATGGATGCTCAGCTGTTTCATTTGTGGGATCATAGGGTTCATTAGAAGAAGTCAGCCGATTGAACTCGTCTAAAGAAGCTTTCTTTTGACCTTTCACCCGTTGTTGCACACAGGCTAGAGGGGTCTCGTTGAAGGCGCACCCGACAAGTTCCCTTGGCATGTTCTATTCGTGAACGAGTCCACAATCAACTTCCCTTCCATAGTCTTATTATTATAAACGCTCCTTATCGCGATCCGTGCCTTTAATTCATACTTCGCAAACATAACATAGGATGACGTTTTCGTAGCATAGGGTTCGCATAAAATAAAAGCTTCCACCTTATATTGGAAAATTGTTCCATTAGGATATGCAGATTGATAGCGGTCCAGTTCGATTCTGTGGTCATTTTGAAGACTATAGATGACGGCGGGAGTTGTATCACGTGGAGCAGTGCAAAATGTCGTTGCTTAATATGAGAGTTTACGTTTCAAACACACAGTACACATAATGTATGACACAATGTCTAGGCATGTACTAGCACACAGGCCTTAGGGGACGTTGAGAGCCTTTACAGGGTGAAGTTTTATACTGAAAGTTCCCTGAATCTATCACTGAAACCTCAATGTACAATGCAAAATCAAGAACGAGTTCAGAAAAAAAAGCAGAGGAGGAGGAGAGTTGAAAACTTTGCAGTCGGTCAGGGCGGCGTCAAGAGGAACGGAATAAGAAAGCTTTCGAGTTCCAAGCTCCAGTTGTGATGGATCGGCACATTCGGCGATAAACTGGTGCTATAACCTCATAAATGTGTCAGATGATCCGGTAGGCGATTGTAGAGGCTGCACTGCATTCAAAACTTGGAAAATGGCACGCAAAGCACCGGAAACTTCGATTTTAGGCCCAAGGAGGCCCATGCCGGCCTACATTGCCCGTGTCGTCGTAATAATGCCGTTGTGCTCTCTCGCCCGTCAATTTCTGGTCTCTCTCCGCGCTTTGCAGTGTATCGTCACCTTCTGCATATCACTGTTGATCTTGACCATTTCACTCTCTTCCGATGATCATAATCAAATGCAAGAAAGAGCGCCACATGTATGGCGGCATTTCATACTTTTTCCTTCACTAACTAGGCAACTAGCTCAATGCGTTCCTGTTTTTGAACTCTGTTACCTACGATGTGCAGTCGCAGGAACATGCCTTTGAGACACACCGTACCCTTACTTCCAAGAACGATCGTTGCCATGTGTGAGGCGAATAGCTTTGCAGCTGCAGTAGCGGGCTACTTTCTCCGCTCAAAATGCATAAGAACAGGGATGTAGAGTAGTGGTGCCCCGAGTGGAGTCTCGTTACACAGTTTGCACTATGCTCAAGGTGCAGCACTTGCATCGATACCAAGATTTCGCAGCGGAACATCCACTCATAGAGAACAACCAAAAGTGAGTGGGCGCAGAAGAGTAGAGCGTTCACCTATTGTTAGGCGCGCGGCTGGCCCTACGGCATGAGCGAAGCGTAGAAATTGCCCACGGGTATCAGTACTCTATAGCCCCTTCCGATGCATCTTTGAGCAGAGGAGGAGACACGCTGCACAGCTATGCCCGTTCATCTCACACACTTCATCCGCCGAGGTGAGTGTACAGTTAGTCTCGCAGAATTAAACAACCACTGCTGAAAACGCCACTGATGGCCACATCACACACTGTGCCTTTTGAAGCCGCTCCTGCTGACTACGACGATATCAACTGTCATAGTTAAAGAGAATGACTAATGCTAGACATCAGATGAGATATGCAAAACAATGAAATCGATAGAATTCACAGGCCAGCCGATGGACTAGCACTCAGTAAAAAGACTCAGAGTGATTCCCGTTCAAATTTACTAGAATAATATCAGCCTCTATGTTAAGTGCCCACCATTTCCCATGCAAGTCGGTGACGGACTAACAACACCGCGACTGCATGTGAGTGTCACATTCTTCGTCGAGCAGAGCAATGTAGCTTGCTGACCATCGGCCAGTGTTCGCACCAGCGGATAAATGCTTCCCACACTCAACGTTGGCAGCAGGCATTCGTCTGAAAGGAAAGCCTTCAACTAAGTTGACTGAATATACTTTGTACACTTCGAAGAAACCTCAAGTATTCCACGTGGACGCTGCTGGTTTCAGCCGAGATTAGAGCATGTTAGGTTGCGTTCATTCGCGACAGCGTCCACCAGCAACCAACAGTGTCGACCAGCGTACTGAGCGTCCGGCAGCATCAGAGACTAGGAAAGTATAGATATCGGTCTAGCGCCTGCTAGCGCCCTTCAGCGTCTCGGAGGCTTAAGAGCATCTGCCAGCCTGCACCAGCAACCGAAAGAGCGTTCCCAGCGTGGCGGAGGGGCAGACAAATGGTGCCCTCCTATTGCTACCAGCACTCTACCACCCCTCTATCTCCCCATACTCTACCAGCCGTACTATCTTCCTATCTCCATACTCCATCAGCTCGCTGCCCGCTCCCTCCTATTGCGCCATACTCTTTGGAGGCTGGTCGACGCTGGCGAACGCTAGATCGATATCTGTACTTTCCTAATCGCTGACCCTCGGAACGCTGGTGGACGTTATTGGTCGCTGGTGGACGCTGATCAGCTCCTTGCAATTGGTGGAGAAACTTGACCACGTCTCGACTCTGGTATCGACCCTTCCATGCGCTTGTTTCTTAATGATGACTCCTTATGTTTCCTGCTGGTCGCCTTGGCATGGCCAGAGGCAGTTTCCGTTCTGGAGGGCACGGCTTTCAAAGCGCATACGAAAGCGGACCATTGTCCACACATATACAGGGGGGGGCAAACAGAAACACAGTTTCGAGAACGACCGTGTCACATAATCCAGGCAAAAGTTTTCGCGAGCCCAGCAGAGGACGTGGATACGGAGTAAGGGCGGATAGATACGAAGAGTTGTTCCTCTATCAGGGAAGCGTGCTCTCATCCATCAGGCTTCATGGGCACAAACAAAATAGTTGAAGTCACCTCCAGTCGCAGCCTGACTGGAGAAGACCTTTGGAATTCATGTCACCTCCAAACAGCTGCGAAACTTCTAGTGTGGAGTCACCCATGGATAGCTACCTGGAGACCAGTACTCTCGATCTGGAAGACCTCCATCATCGAGCAGCTCCGTCAACGTCGCTACGGTCTAGGACATCATCTTCACCTATCAAGTCACCAAGGGCCAGTTGATGGTGAGGACTGGACATACCTGGAATGGAGAGACCTATTTCTTCGTGGGCCCCGAACTGAAGGTGAGCGCTGGCGGTTACATCGAGCAACTGAAGAAGAATATCCTCTCCACATATCGTCGCCCGTACCTCCTTGGAAACTTTGTACTGCTATACAGCATTGGGTGCCACCACATGGAATCAAAGAGCGTTGGGGAAATTTTCGCCTACTTGGAATGGAACCTGAAGAAGTAAGAGTAAGTAAGTAGTAAGTAAGTACCTGAAGAAGGTAGAATATCTAAGCAGGTTACCTGACCTAAACCCCCCGTTAATTACCATACCTGTTTCGGGCGAATTCAATGGGTGGGCTACAAAGGCGGAGAAATCAACGATCTCGCTGAACTCAGGCATCCACTCACGGTCGCGTTGCAGAATCTCTCGATGGCAGCTCCGCCAGAAGGCTGTGGCGGAGTTTGGTGATAGTATTCAAATAACGCGCTTTAAAAAAAAAAAAAAAAAAAAAAAAAAAAAAAAAAAAAAAAAAAAAAAAAAAAAAAAAAAAAAAAAAAAAAAAAAAAAAAAAAAAAAAAAAAAAAAAAAAAAAAAAAAAAAAATAGAAGGTGTCCGATAAGAACTTAATAAAGTGTAACTTATAGCGCCTCGAAAGTCAGGAAAGAAAAAAGTTTTTTTTGCCCCCCCCCCTCCCTGTAGGCGTAAGCCAACGAAGCCCCAGCTCAAATCGTAGTGCGAGCGTTTCTGTTACAGTTTTGTTCTCTGCGGACGCAGGGGCGTCTCAGAGTCTGGGTTTGGCGCGGCGCCAGCCTGTTCCCCATCAATTGTGGAAGCTGTAACGCGTGTGCTTACGTCGCAGCGACCACCTAATTCCTATGGAAGCTGTACCGCAACCCTCCCCCATCCTTTCTCCCGTGCAGGTATCGGCGCCAGACACTACAGCCGAGAATGATCGAGATTTGTTTCTTTCTCTGAGAAATAACGTATAAGGATCTTGAATGTCCCACAACAATTTTGAAATACAATCCCTCATCAGTTGTGCTCCACACTGAATTTGGGTCAGTATTATACTCATCTTTCTCATAAAAATTGAAACTTAAGTGATGCTATACCCATGGTAAGGCAACTATACTATAAGGCATTGCAAATTTTTGAAGGAGTTCATTGAACAATGCTAAGGGTTCCTAGTTCCCTCGAAAGGGTAAAACTGTTATCTCAGCAAGTACTCACGTGGATAACAATGTCCTAGATGGCTTGTGATGAGTCCACGATGGCATTCGAGCACACCATTTCCTAAATAGTCCCACAGTCTTCGAACCGCACTGTGCAATACTCATATTTTCTATCTATGGTGATACTCATAGTTCCTATCTCTTTGCATTAGTTTCAGCATTAGAGGAAGAAGCGACTAATCAAGAACTTGGATTATCAACAGCGTTTATTGGGGCCATTTCAGCCAACTGTCTCTGACAGGATCATCATCCCACATAAACAGAATGCCAAGCGCGCACATGAAAAGATAAGGAACTTAATGATATGGTTGACACAATTGCCCCATATGATCACCCAAGTTGTGAACGCCATACAACGACCAATAAAGGACCGAAGCGAGCATTTAAACACTCTTGCATCTCTGTGAACACCGCAGGTCTTCTCGCCCAGTTTCTGTTGTGGTCCACGAGCAATAGAGTTCATCCATTTTGGCGAGGGTACCCTTCTCGTTGGACGCCAGGAAAACGAGAAGGGTACCCTCGCGCTAGAATAGCAACTTGCATAGAAGAACTCCAAGAATACTTAAATCCTTTCGATTTCCAACGGTTAGATAGTTGTGTAATAAGGCATTGAGATTCGGCTGGCAGCCGCGGTTGAACTTTAGTGCCACATGAAATCAGCTGATCAGCACTTGTTATCGATTGGCTTTTCCTTAGTACTGTTGCGAGTACTCTCATACTCTTTGTTAACGATCAGTCGTTAACATTTACAGAAAGACATTAATTTGATTGCGTTTTGAAAGCACGCTTCACGATCACTCGAAAGTTTGGAAAGTCGCTCTTTTTTTCTGCCTTAAAAATACGTTCTCTTCTCTCTCTCGTCCTGGACGGACTCGCAACAGTGCCGGGCACTGCCCTCCGATAGGAACCGTGTTTATGCGTCCGCTCACCTTGAAGATGAAATCCTCGCAGGCAAATCATAGTCGCTGAAGATCCGTCCTCGATGACGTCTCCAGACTGCAGAATTTGCGAGGTGCGTTGTTTCAGGAAGAACACATGCAGCCGCACAGGTATTCGACATGATTCTAAAGAAATGCGACTCAAAAACTGCCCTAAATCATCCCATGTCAAATTATCGGAAAACGTGTTGGAAATAGCAGCGCCATGCCACAAGCGTCTTTGACCTGAGTTTTGAAGTGAAGTCCCCGCGCTAGTAACGTATTTCCTCCATTAAACCGTCAGGCAGACTGCATACAGGCATTTACAACTTCTAGCTCTGAAGAGCTAGCGTCGTGGAAGATTGTCTAATAATTGTAGACATCGTCCTTATGCAGCTCCATTATTTCGGCATCGACAGCTGTCATGCTGGCGCCAGGGCGGTAGAAGAAAGAGTTTGAGGAAGCGCTTGGAGGGGTCGGTGCCAAAGGTAGCGGATAACATTCTTGTTCATATTGCACAATAAGGAGAAGCAGGAGTCAAGCCAGTGATACCAATAGAAAGACCATTCTTTGATGTATAAGTGCTCACATTACCGGTTAACGCTCTTCAGGTAATTAGCAAATATTTTGGGTTCAAAAATATATGACAGAACTTTCCCAGCCAACCTAATATATAACTAATCCCTCACTTGGTACGCATTCCGGAGGTGTTGGCGCCCATGTTCCATTCACGCACACGGATCTCCCATCCATGAATTCAGACGGAAATTCGAAGCCATCTCTGCAAATGATCTGAAGCGAACAGATAGTCGGTAGCCACGCCGATCATAGACATGAGGTCTAACCAAGAGAGCTCGGGGATTAAATTTAGCACGAAACAGCTACAGGGCTAGTTCCCTCTATTTGCTTAAAATGCTCACATTGATGTCTCCATCTTTGTTGACTACGACGATTTTTTCCGCACTACTGCCGATTATTGGACAGTTGGTGCCCACTTCGAAACCTAAACCAATATTTGAACCACAATACTGCAATAGCGAAGATGCAGCAAAAATGCCGTGAAATGGCTCAAATCGGCCAAATTGTCGAAAGGAGTCACTTCGAATGAAAATTATGATCACGTGCACCGTAGATCCGAGGTCTGGGGATAGCTGGGAGGATGGGCAAAGTGGGTAATCGGGTGTAACTGGGGATTGTAAATCCATATATGGGGTGGGCGTGGCCATCCATCCCCTAGGTAAAGAGACATTTTGGAAAATCGTGAAATATTTTCTAGTAAAACGGGTATACGGGGGGGGGAAGCGGTCAAAAATTCAAATATTAGATACAGATGTGACATGTGAATGTGAATCGAGTAGCCGGGTACTCGACTCATGTACGGGGGTTTTATCACAAAAAAATTGAAAAAACCGATTTTTCCCCTTGCATAACTGGTAGGTAGGTCAAGTTATCATGGAGATCAATACCATCGGGTTATTGCTCGGGACGAGATGTATCGAGGTGGCGGTTGAACGGGGTCGGGGCGATTACAAATACCCGGGTAATTGCCCTAAATGCCCTGAAGGCGCTTCATGTGAGCGCACCTCAAACTTGGGTAATTAAACCAGTGCCCTAACAGTGTCGACAGTGCGAAATGCAGGCTTTTTTCGATGTAAAGTTCGTAGATTTTGACCAATCGGGCTAAAATTAAAAACTTAGCATCTATGGGCATTGTAGAAGGGGCGCAGTTCATCTGGGAGCGGAGCTTGCAGAGAAAGAAGGACAATTCGGGGGCATTCGTATCCCTGCGCGGGAGGTGAAATTCAGGGGGACGCCCGCGTAGCGAAAGCATTTGCCAAGAATGTCTTCATTAATCAAGAACGAAAGTCAGAGGTTCGAAGGCGATTAGATACCGCCCTAGTTCTGACTATGCCATCTAGCGATCCGATGGGGTATTGTTGCGCGGGTCGAGGAGCTTCCCGGAAACCAAAGTCTTTCGGTTCCTGGGGTAGTATGGTTGTCTGAAACTTCAAGAAATTGACGGAATGGCACCACCAGGAGTGGAGCCTGCGGCTTAATTTGACTCAACACGGGAAAACTCACCCGGCCCGGACACCGTAAGGATTGACAGATTGAAAGCTCTTTCTCGATTTGGTGGTTGGTGGTGCATGGCCGTTCTTAGTTGGTGGAGCGATTTGTCTGGTTTATTCCGATAACGAGCGAGACTCTAGCCTGCTAAATAGTGGCTGGATGTCCAGTCTACTTCTTAGAGGGATAAGCGGTGTTTAGCCGCACGAGATTGAGCGATCTGTGATGCCCTTAGATGTCCGGGCTGCACGCGCGCTACAATGGAAGAATCAGCTGGCCTGCCGAAAGGCATTGGTAAACCGCTGAAACTCGTCCGGGCAGTTTAAAAAAGTGGGCGGAGTTTCCCACGAGCGGACCTAATGACACACTTCGCTTAGGCTTAGGCTTAAATTTGCTTAGGCTTAGGCTTAGCTCAAAGGGGCGGAGTTTTCCAATTTCTGAAAAATAGCGAAATTTTTGAAAAAATCGAAATTTTCAACAAAAATCCGAGATTCCGAAGTGGGCGGAGTCACGGAGGGGCGGAGCTCGTTGTGGAAGTTGTTCCCTGTCAGCGGACCTATTGACCACTCGGGGCCTACAGCGGACGAGTGGCTTTTTTGCCTCACTGGGGCATTGGGACGAGTTTTCCGCGGCGGATTTTGCGCGCGGCGTCTCTCGCGGCGGGGCGGGACGGGCGAACCTAGTAACACACTCGGCGCCCCACTGGACGAGTTTTCCGAGGCTTTTTTTGCTGCTGCGGCAGTTGGACGAGTTTTCCGCGGTGGATTCCGGGGTGGGCGAGGTTTGATTCGGGACGTGGTGGCGCGGGCGGACCTACTGACACACTCGGCTCACTGGACGACGGCTGGACGAGTTTTCCGGGCCACTGGACGAGTTTTCCGCGCGATCGGACGAGTTTTCCGGCTCTTCGCGCGGCGGTCGCTCGCGGCGGGGCGGTGCGGCGTGGGGAGGGGCTACGAGCGGACCTAACGACACACTTGGCGAAAAAACCGGCAAAGAGGGTCCCTTTGGACGAGTTTTCTCGCCGGGCGGACCTAACGACACACCCGGCCGGAGATGCAGCAAAAATGCCGTGAAATGGCTCAAATCGGCCAAGTTGTCGAAAAGAGCCACATCGGATGAAAATTATAAGATTCTCCGCAATACATGCGCAGGGGTCCAGGAAGTTGAGAAGGGTCGCATTCACCCTCTCGAGGAAATGTAGGAAGGAAGAAGGTTTGTGACAAGTACAATATCCGATTGAGCTGAATACTGGACCACAAGTGTGTCCAGCTCTCAGCTTCTTCGGGTGTTCGAATCACAGGAGTACGAGCGCCGCTCAATGTGTTCTCGGGATCAAGGTAATTTAACAGTGGAGAACGAATTCAGGTCGTTAAAATGGGTAATAAAGACACCCCCTGAGGATACAAAATACAAAATTTCATTTAGTTATCATCAATGCTATTCTAGTTATCCTTGGTGAAAGAAGACCAGAGTGACTGATGCGACAATGTTGAGAAAATAATTAGATTAAAAAACAAAAATTGAAAAATAAAGAAAATTGAGAAAATGAAAGGAAAATCAAGAAAGTGATTAGTGACTATTTCTTGTTCCCTAACCTAGGAAAAGATCTCCGCAGAAAGCGAATTTTGACGATGAAGAGCTGAAGGCAGCAATTAAAGCACATGCTAGGGATAGGAAAGAAAAATATTCCAGAGGGTATTGAAGAGTTAGCTTCCCAAACAAACAAGAGTATTGAGGTTATGGAGACTACAATGATAAATTTTATCAGGATTTTCTCCCTTTTCCTTCACACCTATACCAAGAATACATTGAACATCCCTCGTACACCACTTTACTTTTACCCCTCCCGACACAAGCATGACATCGTAAACCACATTAATATGATCCAGACGTGGGAACTGCCGCTAATTCTAATATATTCTGTTTTCTCTATCCTTGGAGCTTTACATGGGTCTATGGAGAGTTTAGTGAGGGTGGTCTCATAGGGAAAGTCCTTCATGGTGCCCTTTCATCGGTATTTTACAATGTGGATACCTCCGATATCGCGTTTCTTCCTGTCCCACGTGATTCGCCCTTCAATCATTGGATGCGTTTGTGAGACGCATTTTGGTTTCATCTTTGGCATCCACTGTCCGTTAACGCACGACGCCTTCGGGGGACCTGCAAGCAAGAGTTTTGTAGCGGCGAAAAAACAAACGAAAAATTACTGTAAGTTTTCCATAAGCAGTAACTCAGAAATACAATGCTCAAAAAAAGTGATACATGCTCACTATAATGAGACCATAATAGACCCTATATAGAATTCTGAAATGCGAACTTTGGAAATATGTTACACGATCTGCTAGGAGATCATTGAGTGAAATAGCTCGACGCAGTCACAGAGCTTGTGCTATGTCCACAGCACAGAAAGGAGAGACAAAGGCACTAAAGATTTTATTACGCCGTGACAACGTCATCCACTAGTTCCCATTCATTCGAGCCTTCCTGTTCATAGTTGCGTCATGTTAAGTACATACAGTCAAGGTGTTTTATCGTTGTGAAAATTACAATGGGGAGGCGGTTGTATTCAACCGCGACGGAGGGTCGTAAGCGCAGGGCACATGGTTAATGCTGTGAAAGGCATCTGAACAGACATCCGAAGGAGGAGGCTAACTCCAAGCTTGGAAGTGGGAAACACGAGGTGAAAGGAAGTACGGTGGCCACGCACAGCGGCATCATGAGTCAATAACAAACGAAACACAATATACGCCCGGAGCCATCTGAGTATGTAGGAGGACATCAGAACGAATGATCCTCATCTCGAAGTCACTCCTTTCCAGTAACTCTCCGTGGAAGTCGGATGCATGGCGCAAGACAGAGGTGATGCCAATCGACGCCAAATGAAGCGTTCTCTAATAGTTCCGATATTCGAACGTTGTAGCCTATATGTTACCTGGGTCAATGTTCGTCAATGTTCATGTAATACATTGTGCACCTTATGGACTCGAGAAAACATTGAGAAGAACGCTACTTCTCATCTTTTCCTTTTCTTAGCTTGGCTGTAATACATTTTCTGCTGTACCTTTTCTCGTAGAACCCCTTATACCATTAGAATCAACTCGTTACGCTGCATACGACAGTTCTCTTCAGATTGCAAAGAACTCGACTCTAATCGGTAGCGCGACAAAACCACCATTTTTGAGAGGTAACCAGAGTCGTACCAGCGAGCAAGTTCAATCGGAGGGGCGGGGGGGGGAGGTGGGGAGGTGGACCGTGGTTATACCGTCATTTCACGCTTGAGAAAGGAAAAAAAATGCTGCGCGAAGGGTTGGTTCTGATCGTAGCGGCGGTTCTACAGAAAACGAAAAGAAACAAATATCGCATTTTTTTATTGCTTTTTTTTCCACAGAGGACTCTCCAGTCGCCGTCCCCGCAACCGTTATCATGCTGAGAGTGCTTGTAAAATATTAAAAGAATAAAACGCTTACCACCTATAAGGTAGTTCCCCTTTCGACATTGAAAAACAATCGATCGACCCTCGTCGACTTTCTGGATATACTTGGCAAACTCATAAGCACCCATCTGACCCTCCAGCAAAATTTGACCACCGGCAAGTGTTCCGAACGTCCGTGACGGATGATGACACCACGCTGAATCAATAATTGAACAACGCAAAAGTGGAATTGGAAAAAACGTTCAAGAAGAAAAGAACCCGAGTCAGAAAGACAGTAAGAAGCAAAGAAACTAAGCAACTTACTTGGTAAGCACTTTAATGGTCCACCCTCTCTGGTCCACTGTCCAAAAAGACACTTGATAGTTTGCTTTTCTTTATTCGGATAATAGCTGAAATGTGGTGATCTTATGCGGTTCATGTAATGCACACGCAACTTGGTGATTTTTGTGGTTTGGATTTCATTTTCTGTTATTGAAGCAGAAAATTTCCACAAGAACGCAATGATAGTTGTAGTAATAATCGAGCAAACACATACCCTCCATTACATTCATACTTGGCGATTGCTCCGTGAGATGACTTTGAGAACAAAACACGCGCATGAGCGACACGAGGCGGCCAGTCGTGGCAGTTCACTAGACAAAAGTGTCATTTTGTGTAAAGGCGGTAGAAAAGATTAAAACAGCTTTCTGAAGCTGTCAAGTTCAGATCATCACTGACGTTCCGAGATGTCATCTCACTCGAACATCAAAAAATAAAGCTCTCGCCGTTCATCCAACTATGGGACGAAACAGCGTTTCACTTCATTTTGTCATGGAATTTAGAATGCCATTGCGCCGACTTGTCGATGTGTAATTCATATTTTTGTCCCCTCCCCCCCCTCCCTCCCAGAGGAATGTGGCACCGTGACTGGTCCTACGGGGATGGAAGTTTTGGCTGTTGCCGAACTGGGTTGATTTGAATCTCAAACTGCGAGTGTCGTCAACAGCCACATACCACTATGCCTCTCCGTCCACTCAAGCACTATCTACATAGAAAAGCAGGATTTCATTTTCTGGGTTGCTTGTAATTCGCTTCGAGGTTCTCGACAGGATGCAAGGTACAGCATCGTGATGTGTGAAATAGTGGTGTAGTACGATACGTCGAAGCAGGGCCCCGGCACGACCCCCCCCTCTCCACCGCTGGTTGTTGGCTCTAACGAACAGGATTTGATACGACACAACCTGCAGGCGCTCGCAGCTGCATTGCGACCAAGTTCAGCTGGGTGCGCGCCATGCATTACGCTCCCCTCCGGAGGTGGTGGAAAGGTGCAAATACTGCTAGCAAGCAACGGTCATTCATGCAACCAGATGTTTTCATTTCATGCAACCAGATGTTTTGACAAGGTACGGAAAGTTTGACGACCTTTTCACAGTGGTGACCCATGCAACCGCTTGAGGGTTTGACGCAGCGCGGTTGGGAGTGGAGTCAAGGCGGCCTTGTTCCAACGGTGATGTCATCCCGAGTTCGCTACAACTGGTTAGAAATCTGCTTTGACTGCGCTACAAGCTACACTGCCGCCTTGCGCTCTATCGTTTTCGGGGTTAACGAGTGTACGAACCTCTTGGAATTGTATTCTTGGGCCATATACTTATGAATTATGCTATTTTCAATTGTTTTAAGTGTTTAAGTAATAATACTGTCGCACTGTTCGGTGCTCACCGAGCCTGCGTTTACAACCCCCTCCCTCCTATGAGCCCAGGTGCGACCCCCTTGGAGGGTATCGCACAACGATGCTGTATATATCCAGACAACTCCCACCTCAACACATCTAGCTATTCCGACAGATGTCGGAATCGCGAGATGAGTTGAGGTGCGTGATAGACTAGAGCGCAAGTTTGAACTCCGAACCATTTTTAGGCCTCCTGAAGTGGCGATTAAGTTGAAACCTTAGGTCACTTCAATAAACGCTACCTATCGATCTCGAAAAACACGTAAATACTAACATAAACCACAACGACTGGGAAATATATCGGTAACTGATATCTTACATGGTGAGCAGATTGGCACATGACTCCATGTTCCGTTGTGACATTGCATTCGCGTTTGCATGTTAGCCTCATGACGTTGGTCACAAAGCAGTTCCACCGTGGCACCTGGGAAGCGAAAACATTAGGTTGTCCGGAAAGTTCTCAGCGTTTTGTGCACCTATTTTTTGTACATTCACTGCTGATTAAAAACTCATTCTGCCTTGCTTCTCAGTAGCACATCCTGTAGAGAATTTCTTGCGCTATCTGATGGTATAATTGCCGTTTCACCATTGCTTGATAAACCCCTTTTTTCAAGATTTTTTCAAGCATGTGAAAAGAGCACTTCGGACGATTTTTTTCTTCGACTATAAATTGGGGCAATCCGCAATCGAAACAGCTCAACAAATTAACCAGGTGTGGGGGCCCAATAGTGCTAGAGAAAGCACTGTGCGGCAATGGCTCAACAAATTTCGTTCTGGAGATTTCAGCCTTGAAGATGAACCTCGTAGCGGTCGACCTAAAGCAATACCTGACGAGGATTTGAAGGCATTTGTGGAGGCTGACCCATCCCAAACAGTTCGAGAGATAGCAGAAGAGCTAGGCGTTGGCAAATCCACTGTTGCAGATGGTCTGGAACGCATTGGGAAGGTGAAAAAACTCGACAATTGGGTGCCCCACAATCGGAGTGACCGGCAGGAATCGGCACGTCTCGAGGTTCCTTCTGCATTGCTTTTGCGCAGCAGAAACGACCTGTTTTTGGGCCGAATTGTCACCTGTGATGAAAAATGGGTCATGTATGATAACAGGAGACGTTCCGGACAGTGGTTGGATTTCGACGAACCACCGAGGTAATTTTCAAAGCCGAACCCTCACGAAAAAAAGATTCTGGTCAGGTTTGGTGGTCATCGGCTGGTGTGATCCACTATAACTTTTTATCACCAGGCCAAACCATCACAGCAGAACCCTACTGTGAAGAAATCGACGAATTGTACCGAAAATTTTGTCAGATGCAGCCAACACTTATCAAAAGAAAGGGTCCGATTCCTTTGCATGACAACGCCCGCCCACACGTTTCACAAATCACTATCCATAAATTGAACGAATTGGGGGTTGAAGTTCTACCTCAACCGCCATATTCTCCAGACCTTTCGCCAACCGACTATCACCTTTTCTAACATTTTCAGAACTCCCTTGCTGGAAAATACTTCATCAATCAGGACCAGGCAAAAAAGCCTTCGTGGATTTCGTGAATTTTCGACCACCCAGTTTTTTACTTTGATGGGATTTCTCGACTGCTGTCACATTGGCAAAAGTGTGCTGATTCGAATGGTGCCTATTTCGATTAAATCCGATGAGTATTAAAAAAGTTACGATCGTTTAAAGTGAAACACCCAAAACGCTGAGAACTTTCCGGACAACCTAATAAACTACAACCCTTTCAGCCCGAATACGTTCCAATTCAGGAAAAAGATACAGTGGAAAAGGTATAATTAAGTTATTCAAGATAATAGCTCTAGCTCATAGAAGAACAATTTGCGCTGAAATCCTCCTACGGAACTGTAAAACATCAAAATATTGGCCATCGCAATGCCAGAAGACGCTATTGCTTGTCAAAGAAAGTTTGCTGATTCCAACCACATGCAGAATCCAAAGACGCGTGTAAAAACAATACCTTCACAGTTTTAAAGGCAGAGTCTGCTTCAAAAAAATGATGATTTATGCGACTGAGATAGTAATAACAAGGTAGGAAGTGAATCAGCAATGAAGAAGAAAACAGAAAAAGAGATCATGGGAAAAACTCTATGCTGAAATGAAGTTGCACGCGTACAAGTGGAAGAAAGGGGGGTCGGACAACTGGTTGGTGTCAACTCTTGCTCCTTATCACCCCATCCTCACGATTAGAAGTGGAAAGAGTTAATAGCAGAACAACCGCACCAAAGGTAACACTTGAAAAAAAACGTTGGGCGTTGCAGTAATCAGCGGGTGGAGCGACTATCTCTTTACCAGCGGATAGCGCTTTCTTCTCGAATATTTGAGCATCAGAAGAAAGCGTGGGAACATCAAGTGAAACGCGAGGTCTGCCTTAAGCTCCGCTAATAGTAGCAGCCTGTCTAAGCCGCCGTGCAACAAGATTTTATTCATTTTTCGAGAGTGACATCTCAGCTATTAAAAAGCCAGCACAGACTGCTTACAATATGTATGTGTATTTCTCATAAAGTAAGCAGAAGAGTTCAGCAGTACACATCTTCCCTCACCTGAAGCAATCAGCTGGTTTTCCACTTTGCCTTTGATGCGACCATTTTCTATGCGTGGGACTTTGCAGGAACCTGAGAAAACCCAATTATGTAGGAAATGAAAATACATACCATTTTCACTTCCAAATCACTACTTTCCAAAACAAATTCACGATTTTTTTTCAAACCAAGTTCACAAGTTTTCAGAACAGATTCGAGATTTGGTTACCCATGCCTTACTAGATACACTGCAAACTTCGACTTCATAACTCTTTTTCAGCGTCGTTGTTTTCCCCACTCTCCACACAACGAAGGTACTGGTAGACGCGTACTAATGCACCAGCTCTTCATGCTCCCCCTGACCACGCCCACTTCGCGGATTTTAGCAAAATTTTGATATTTTTTAAAAATTTCTGCATTTTCGGGCTGCCACGTGAGGCCCCACCCACTTTTGGCAAATCGGTAGTATTTAGTCTTGACTTGCATGCTAGAGTCTCGTTTGTCTCTCAGAACAGACAGGCAAAGTTTATCCCGAGTGTTTATCCCGTATGCAACAATATCCTGGCATGCAAGCTGAGACTCTGTACTGTAAGCGTGGTCAAGGGGCGGGGCCCAAATTACCAGCGCATAGGTGCGCGTCTAAGAGTACCTTCGCTGTGTAGAGTGATGGTGGAAGAACGACGCTGAAAAAGTTATGAAAAGTCGTTTGCAACGAATACTTTAAGAAATGGGCGGAATTGCCCGTGTGCCGATGTACAGCCTTTTTCAGCTAGAGTGTATTTGCGAAAAAACAAAAGTGCAAAAAAGCCACAAATGGAAAAGGATTGAGTAAAATTTAAAAAATCACGACCACACCGAAATGTGGGCGTGCTATTGGGCGGGGCTTGCAGTAGTGTCTGATAAGGCATGGGTGACTAAGTCTCGGATCTGTTTTGAACAGTCGCGAATTTCTTTTTAAGTCGTGATTGGTTTTAAAAGTCGTAAATTATCGCGAATTCGGTTCGAAAAGTCGTTAATTCGAAGTGAGAATGGTGTATAAGACATTGGCTAATAAAGTCTAGAAAGCCTTTTCCATTCTAGCTACATTCTAGGACTAGATGTCAACCTTGCTTCCAATTCTCAACGAGAGCTCAAAAATACTCATTTCATTTGTTCCGTCTACCGAATCCTTAGCGATCCAGAAGTGTCTAGAAAACGTTTCTTACCTAGACATCGCGGCATCGGATGACTCCATTGCCCGGAATCCATGCATTTCGCCATTGTCGCTCCTTCATGAGTCATTGTTTCAAGGCATCTAAACGCTTGCTAAAAATTCCTTTCACGAGACATCTTCCCACGCGGCAGCCCTTTAGACCACATTCAAGATGCGTTGGTGTTGTGCACTATATAACTGTGCACAATTACTGCGAAATCTTTCACATCGACCTCTCCTTAGCATTCATAAACGGCTTGCAGCCGCAAGGAATATGGTAAGTAGAGATGAAGCTTTTACAGGATAGTTCATACAGCGAGACCCACCTGAATGTTGCGGTGGCCCCGTAATACGTCTCACCCCCTTCTATGTATCCGTTACTGAGCGGAGGTAAATTTGGACAGCGAATCTCTGGAAATGAAAATATTGAAATGGAATTGCTTTATAATAAATTTTAGGCTCTTCACCTTCACATCTCGGTTCTACACCAGCCCAGGTTCCTTCGGCTAGACAAATACGCTGGACCTGTCCAACCAGTCGGTATCCTTCTTTGCAGGAATACGTTACGGTGGACTGGTAGGTCAAAGAAGTACCGAGAACTCGTCCATGCAATGGATCAGGTGGGCGTGGACATTCCGTTGCTGAAAGTTTCCAAAAATTGCGTTCGCAAATTAATTTACTGCAACTTTTTTCAAGCTCTCCAGGGTAACAAAGATAAAAAGTCTTTGCGTCGATCAGTCCTTTGTTGGGGTGCGGCACGCATTCTACTTCCATTTGAAATCGTAATGGATTACTGCATGCAATAAGGCCTACACAGTATTTGCGGGGACCAGCCGATGTACAGGTGCTTATCCTCCCAGACGATACCGGTACCGATTCTTTCTTCCCCTCGGGAAAGAACACTTGGTGACGTGGGTAGGCGCCTGTCCGGGGACGGTCTACTGGGCCGAAGATTGAAGTTCACTTTTTTGAAATTTGTTTTCCTCTTCATTTTATTTGGAAAGATCATCGAAGTTGTTCAATGAGACGACCTAATATACAGTGGGGGGGGGGGAAGCCAGAAGACACTTTTCTTTCTTCAAGGCGCTATAAGTTACACTTTATCAAATTCTGATCGGACATTTTACCACCATATTAAAGAGCATATTAAATACTATCATGACACTCCGCCACAGCCTTCTGGACGAGCGCCATCGAGAGATTCTGCCACGCGACCGTGATTCGGTGCCTGAGTTCAGCGAGGTCGTTGATTTCTCCGCCACTGTAGACCACCTCTGTTGAGCTCCGCTCGGACCCGGTAATGGACTTAGATATTCCGTCTTCTTCAGGTTCTCAACGCCCTTCGATTCCATGTGGTGGCACCCAATCCTGTAGCAGTACGAAGTTTCCAAGAAGGTACAGGCGATGACATGAAGGCAGGATATTCTCGAGTTGGTCGATGTAACCGTCAGCGCTCACCTTCAGTCCGGGGTCCACGAAGAAAATATCGGTCTTCACATTCCAGGAACTTCCGGTCCATACCACCAACCCGCGCCTTGGCGACTGCAGTGAAGATGATATCCTGGACCGTAGCGACGTTGTCGGAGCTGCTCGATGTTGGAGGTCTTCCAGATCAAGAGTACTGGTCTCCAGGTAGCTATCCATGGGTGACTCCATACAAGAAGTTTCGCAGCTGTTTGGAGGTGACGTGAATTCCAAAGGCCTTCTCCAGTCAGGCTGCGATTGGAGATGACTTCATATTTTGGTGTACATGAAGGTGATGGGCGAGAGCCAGCTCCTGCTTATAGAGGAACATCTTGGGTATCTTCCGCCCTGGTACTCGTATCCACGTCCTCTGTCTGGGCTGCGAAAACTTTGCTGATATGTGACTCGGTCGAAGTGTCTTTTTTTGCCCCCCCCCTCTTGTATAGCACATATACTTTGCGTGAAGCAGTGGTGTAGTGGCAAAAGGCACGCTTACCACTTGTGCGGTCCTGGGTTTTTCCCAGTCGACTCATCTCAGGGTAACCAAGCCTTTTACTCTCCGGGAATGGTGCATTGGTACCAGATTTGTCTGGGAGGATAAACACTGACTTGTACATCGGCTGGCCCCCGCAAGTCATTGTATAGGCCACATCGCATTCAATAAGCCACTACGATTCTGAATGGAAGTAGAATGCGTGCCGCATCCCACAAAGGGATTGATCAACGGCGGAGACTTTATCCTTATCCTTTATCCTATACCTTATGTACCTATGACAAAACCTTATCGTTTGCTCTGTAGTACCTCCGCACAATGAGGTATGGACCTAGAGGTTCAGTCACATCTCTCAACGCGGTGGAAGCAGGAGTCAAACCTGCATCCAAATGTTATTGCTGACATCCCCCCGGACCTATCGCTGAACAAATCTTAGAAGAAAAAGAGAATCAGCTGGAAAGATAAACCAAGATAACACACCCTGACAAACGGGCGGCTCATCCGACCATTCGCCGTTACTCTCGCATTTCCTCATCGCCGGTCCCAATAGCAGAAATCCGGGATGGCAGTGAAATACCACGGTATGTGGGTATTCGAACACATCACCATCTCGAATACCGTTTTCCAGCTTCCCAGGATCCGGACAGGAACGCGCTAAAAGTTCAGCAGTCCAATTCAATCTATCAGAAGTACACGGTCGTAGAACACTTCTTCTAACGGTCATGACTTGCAATTTAACAACAGTTAGCTGCGACCATAGAACGCTGAACAGGGACATGTATCCTTCCACTATAGAGAGATGAAACCAAAATAGCTGTTTGATTTGAGACCTTGTTCCACGGGCAGAGTCCAAGTTTAAGAAGCACTAGAAGAAGGTCAGGTTGCCCTGATCCTCTAATGTCCTCGGTGCATCTGCACTTGCTCATCGTCCTGTGGCGGCTGCTAGCATACACTTTTTTCTTTTGCAAATACACAACAGCGCTATGTGCACTACGTGCCTCAGGAGGGGCCATTCCGCTTCAGATCTGCTCGTCTGCACTCTCCGTTTGTGTAAGCACAACGTGTTTTGGCGTATTCTAATACCAGTCGGCTCGCCGGCTAACGCCGGCGCGCCTCCTTCTGATACGGCCCGGCTGCGCCGGGCGGGCGCGGCTTCGCCGCGCGTATTTTCTTTCACATATTTCTAGACTCAACTGATATCCGCCTTTTGTTCTGTACTCCACTTTTTTCCGGTGTCTGAAGTACTCTTGAGCTATTTTACAGATTCTTCGTCTGACTCCGCCCACCTCGGAGCAGGCCCGCCCACAATGTTTGTGCCCCACAATCCTCACCGGCGACCCTCTGCTGACCTTAATCCACGTTTTTTCCGGTCTTTGAAGTGCTCTGGGACAGTTTTAGAGAATTTTCGTCTGGCTCCGCCCACCTCGGGCTGGCATATGTCTACCCCACATTTCTCAATCGGCGACCCTCTGCTGACCTTAATCCACTTTTTCCGGTCTTCGGAGTGCTCTGGAACCGTTTTACAGACCTTTTTGTCTGGCTCCGCCCACCTCGGAGCAGGCTCCGCCCACAATTTTTTTGCCCCACATCTTAACCGACGACCCTCTGCTGAACTTAATCCAC